CTTGTTAGCGAGATTTTTACTAACATAATTCGTTCTATTTTAAAAATTTTTTTTAAATACTTTTAAATTATTATAATTTAATATCATATAACATTCGATTGATTATTATCGTCAATCAATTTAACTTATGCTTATTCTATTTTTCTCGTAAAATAGCATTTAGAATTGAATGTAACTATAACTGTTGTTATAAATGCCATGACATTAATATCATAGAATTTAATGAATTTAATTTGCAAAAATATATTAAATTTTATTATATGTATTATATATATAGTAATAAATTATAAAAGGTGCAAAAATTAAATATAAAAATCTAAAAATTGCTAAATTATTATATTCCAAAAATTAATTTTTAATGTGATTGGAAGATATTTCTATAATAATATATTTTAATAAATTAAATTTGATAAATTAATAAATTTATTAATTTCTAAAAATAATAAATTTAATAAATAATAAGATGTTAGTAAAAATTTTATATAAAATCAATAAATTTAATAAGTATATATTATAATGTAATAAGAAATATTTAAAATAATTTAAATATTATAAATTATATTTGAAATTAATTATATTTATTTGTATTTTACAGACATTTTTATCGACACTCGATCTTGCTTGTCGAGTTATGGTTATCAGGTGAAAAAAGACCGTATTCTGCTTCGATTATTGACATGGTTGATTTTGTACATAATATAAAATTATGTACAAATTTCATATTTAAAATATACATATTTTATTCATAAATATTTAAAATATATTTATTTTGCATAATTGTTTTTTATGCGTTTTACTCATGAAAATCGATATGATTCATTACTATTATGGACAGATGGAAAGTTATTATAGTTATCTACGAACAGTAAGTTATATATTTTTTTAAAGGATTGATTAATTTTTAAATGTATGTATATAATAAATAAATTATAAAATTTGATTTAAATTATAAAAATACATGGAGTAGATTTTATTCATTACTCATAATATTAATTATATTTAATACTCTTATAAAAATTATTAAAATTATTATTTTATTTAAATAAAATTTCAAAATGTAATATAAATATATATAATAT